CCACACAAAATATATGTGAATCACATGTAGGCCACACCTGCGACGGTTGCTAATTCGAATGACGTTCGCAACATTGGCAAATACAACGTTCGACAAGCTGGGACTTCTAATTTGTCAAGCTGAGTTCATGTCGTTGATGTCTCTCCGAAGCTGTACATGCGGGAAATGGCATGACAAATTGCTGCCTTGTCATCATGCTTTTGCTTGTGCCAATCGCCACAGTATGTCCCCCTACAGAAGTGTAATTTGAATTCCGAGTAGGATACCCAGCATTTACTTGAATAGGCTGAGCAAAGACTGTATTCGAGAACGGTTTACCCATCACCACCTCGTCACTTGTCCAGAGTCGTTTTTATCAAGCCCCCACAGTGCTTCACTGAAAATGAGCCTAAGTATGCAACGATCGATACCATGCGCATTAACCTGTTGATTTCTCACAGAGATCGCGGCCCACCAAAAATGAAGCGCATTAAGTCACCTAGATATACAATACAAATTTTAACTTTTGTCACTTCTTGTGATGTCATTTGTTTTCTTTGATTGGTTGTGACAAGGACTAAACGTTGCATAAGCAGTACTACGCAGTATGATGTTACACAGACCGTGTGTGTAGTTAGTACTTTGCCGAATGTTCCCGCCACAACAACACCTGTATGCTGGGAACACGATTTCAGCAAGAACGTTTTATCAGGTCACACATTGCTTGGATAACTCTAATATCATGTTACAGAGGGACGTTGTAACCAACATATGGCTTTTTGATGAAACCGGCTCTATTTCGCTCTAAAATAACGGAGAAAAACCGGAATCGCACTGATTTAAAGGAATAGCTCAACCTTTCTACCGCGATGAACTTTGTCCATACATCACATTAAGATAAACCCACGAATAGATCCAGGAGGCTCCACAAAAACATCACCGCAGTTCTTGTCCTCTATCCGTGTTAGGTCATGGAGATGCTATGTCATGCAGTGACACCTATCATGAATGTTGGCCAAATGCCATCCCATTCCGGGATCTCTACCCTTGGCAGCTTGGCAGGCACACTCGGGGTCAGTAGCGCGAGGTTACACTGCTTTTTGTGCACTGGAACATCCACGAGACAGCCCCCTCCCGACTGACGATAGACACAAGTTGTGGGACTCTATAAAACATCGCAACAGAGTGCCGGTTCCTGTGTGTGAAGTAGGATGTAGACCTCGGGGCAGTGCGATGTTGACAACGATCAAGTATGCGATGGGTGAACAGTAAGGTCCCATGAATCATTGAGAAGAGCCGGCTGGAAGAGGGCCACTGAGTAACCTGCGCAGCACGCTTCACAGAGTGGCCATGGGCGTCAAGCCGCTGATCTTTGCAACCGAAGTCGTGTCTGGCACTTGAGGCAACAGCGCCAGTGGCGCGACGAAAGTGGGTGAGGATGCCGTTGGAATCGTGGCAGGCGAAAGCACCGATCGGAGTGCCCCACGATGGATAAACCTTGGCAGTTGAGCTCGCCCTCGCGGAACGAAGTGATCGTTTGAGGTAATTGTCGTATCCGAAGTGGGGGCGTCGTGGCAGCAGTGCGCTTGCCTACTTCTTCTGCGGGTGATGTCGACAGTGTCGGTGACAACCGTTTTGTGGAGGGCATTGTATGAGAGGAAGTGGCGACGGCTGTAGCGGTCACAAAGGCGAAGACAGAGTGGAATTGCATGAAACGTTGAAAAGTGAACAGACTTGGGACATCATGTCAGGGCTGACCAGGGCTGAAGGACTACAGCAGCACGGCTCGATGAGCCTGTAGTGGTTTTGCAATGGCGTCGGCCTTGATGGCAACGTAGACCATCCAAAGAGAAGAAGGGCAAAGCGAAGAAGGGCTCACGTGTGTGAAAAGAGTTGCTACATTTCTATCCACATGCTTCGCTCTTCACCCAAGTCCACGTCCATGTCTGCCTCCTCAATTCCATGGGCTTCTTCTCCCCACATACTTTGCTCTTCCTCGACGGCGTCATCCGGCTCAAAACCATGGAGATGCTCCAAATCGACGTCGCCGTTTGCAACGTCGGGAATGGCGTCGCCGCCCGTGACTTCTTGGCGCAACCGCCAGTAGTCCCGCAGGACTGGGACTTCATCAGCGTACAGCAGCCACTCGTGAGGGACAACAAGGTCGGCATCTCCAAAGTGCACGAGGGCCCACTTGGCCATGTCCAACTCGCCATGTTTGAACGCTATGTGGAGTGTATCCGTGAGCCAGTACTTTCGTTCGAATCCAATGTTGTTGCTTTGCTCTGTCTTCTTGTCATCGATCCACCGGATTACATCCAGGTCCCGCGACTGCGCCGCATAATGGGGGTTGTAGGACATGCCGAGACGGTGGGTTTCGAGCATGACGAGGATGTTGAGATGGCCGGCCTCAGCTGCCTTGTCCCACGTCATGCTAGAGCACTGCCCGAGGTGCCGGACAAACCACTCGACGACGTGTAAGTGGCCGTTTGCGGCCGCCCCTTCCATCGCTCGAATGACGCCGTACGATGAGTTCCAATGCGTACATTCCCGGAGGAAGAACGTGACGATGTCCATGTGCCCATTGATGGCCGCGCAGAACTTGGCCTGGGAACTGCATCGGGCGTCACGTTGGGTGTGCAGAAACTGGACAACGTCTAAATGGCCATGTTCGGCGGCCTCGTCCATCGCCGTGGACGTGCGGAGGTGGTCGTGGTGAAGCGTGAGAAATTTAACAACTTCCAAATGTCCCCGCGCGGCTGCCAACGCAAACGCTGATGACGTGCATGCCTTCGCCTGGTGCACATGCAAAAACTTGACGATATTCAAATACCCGTTCGACACGGCACCCGCCATCGCTTGCTCTGTCGCCCCTTCCTGTCGGTGGATGAGCAAGAATTTCACAATTTCGAAATGTCCATTGGCCGCGGCGCCATCTATAGCGAGTACCGTGGCGCCTTCCGTGCGATGGTGATGGAGAAACCTCACGATGTCGATGTGGCCATGGGTGGCTGCCATGTCCATCGCGCGGGTCGTGCAGCCTTCTGTACGATTGTGGTGGAGAAATTCGACGATGGATAGGTGCCCCTTGGCCGCAGCGGCGTCCATGGCCGCTGTTGTGCACCCTTCGCGGCGATGCGCATGGAGGAACATTGCTATATTCCAGTGCCCACACTCGAGGGCCACATCCAGCGTGCGTTTGGTAAAGCAATGCAGTCTTCTCGATTTTTCTTCGTGGACGAATCGGACCAACTCCAACTGGTTCGCGCGCACGATGGCCTCCATGACCGACGGTGGCATCACGTAGTACAATTGCTTGTATTTGGCACGGAACAAGAGCTTGAAGATTGGCGGCGTCATCACGGAACTCAACAATGCGTCGTCAGTCACTACGTCGGTCTCCATGTGGTTCACCAAGAACTTCACGATGTCGAAGTGCCCATGACTAGCCGCCGCCTCGATCGCAGTCGTAGTTATCGCCATGTGGTATGCGCCATATAGCCACTCGACGACGTCCAAATGCCCATGGGAGGCGGCGTCATCCAAGGCGTAGGGTGCGCACCCTTCAGTTCTATGCGTATGCAAGAAGCACAGAATGTCCAGGTGGCCGCCCTCGGCCGCTCCACACTGAGCTCTATCCGTGCACCCTTCCTTTCTCTCCGAGTGCAGGAACTGCACAATTTCAAAGTGGCCATTCGCTGCCGCATCGTCCATTGCGAACTCCGTGCAGCCTTCGCGGCGCTGAGCATGCAGGAACTGCACCACGTCGAAATGGCCGTTTGCCGCTGCTTGATCCATCGCGTTGGTCGAGCATCCTTCCGCTCGGTTCGAATGCAAAAACCGCACGACGTCCAAATGCCCTTGCCCGGCCGCAACGTCCAAGCACTGGCGAGTGAAGGGAAGATTCGATTCGTCGAGATAGCGAACGACGTCGAGATGGCCCCCGCGGCAAGCCAAGAACGAAGCGTGGAAGGTGTAGCCGGGGTGCTGAATATCCAGGAGGAACTCAACCACAGAGACGTGACCAGCCCACGCTGCCAGATCGACAAGGAATTCGCCGCAGTTGAGGAGGCTGAACACGTGCGAGTGGATGTACTCGAGCAGAGGCACATCACCCTCGTAGATCGCGTACATGACGACGACGGACCGCATCGTATGACGAGTGCAGGCAAAGAGGAGGTCGATACGGCTGCGGAGGTGATCTCGAAACCACGGGCGGAGCAGTTGGACCAACGGTGCAAACGATTTGTCCAGGTTGTACGACGTCATCAAGGGCTTCCTCAAAGCCGTGAGGGGGCGCATGTCGAGGTAGATTCCGCATTGATACGACGCGACGGTTCTGGCGATGTCCGCTGACAGCAGACAGTACCGCACACTTGTCGCCATTGTCCGCCTTGAGCGACACAAAGGCTCTCGGCCAATCCAGAGCGTTTCTCGTGAATTTGTCCAATCAAAATGAATCATGCAAATTCTGTAGCCAATCAGAACTGTTCGATTCAAAAGGATGTCGAGCGATGGTCGTGTGCCGTGCATGGATATGCCGTCTGGCTGTTGTGGCCGTATCCAATTCAAATGGAAGTTCACCGTGATGTGCAGAGCGGCGTTGAATTCACCTGACATGGCTGACCATCGCGCTGGCTGTGCACTGCCTGGCTGTCGAAAGCGGCATCGAATTCTGGCTCTCCAAGCCATGCATGTGAAGCACGGACGGGGTTGCCGAGGGTTTACCCATTCGTACAATGACAATTCGCCGCAAGTATTCTTCACGACAGGGAATGTCGACCACAGCAATCCTCAATGACTAAACCGTGGCGCCACACACGCTCTCCCTCCACACGATCCACCTTGTACATCAAATATTGGACGATCTACATCGTCATATTTAAGACTAGAAATACGATGTACATCGTCGATGGAG